GCTACACAGGTCTAGAGACAAGTCTGATACAACTTATACAGTTATACAACGTATAGAGTTCTAGACATGCATTTATACAGATCTGTTATCGAAATTGCTGATGAACTCCCTTTGCTTATCTACTGAAATTAAAATAATAATAATAATAATAATAAATTCTGTTTTATGGTTAATATCACAAGTCACAAATAAAGTGACGGTTAAACTGCATTCACCGTCCGTTGCTGACCCTTGTTCGAAATAGGTCGAACATAGAAACTCGAGAAAAATCCGTTCTAGACTCCAAAAACGAGACAAAATTTACATAGCTGGTCCTCGATGCAAATAAGCTCCGGCACAAGCTCAAGATCATTATAAGGGTCAAAATTTACATGACAATTCCACCTTGGAACCCTTTCGAATGTCCCTTAAAAAATTATTTTATGCACAAAAACCCCTATATAGTAGTAATAACAATAAACTGCCCAACGAAAAAAAAAAAAAACCACCCCCAATAAAAAAAAAAAGAAGGGTTCTCTCTCCGATGATAAAAATCATCCGACCGCAAATTTTTATGTTGTTATATCCCTCCTCGCCAGGTAAAATAGACAAAGAGGGATGAGAAGGGGTTATTTTATTTTTTTGGACCAATAGAATGGGCGTTCACTATTCTGGGACTGCTTTCCAGGGGGTTGTTTTTGAACTATTGACACTACTAGGCCGGATATCGCGCATAGTAAAAAGATAGTTCTCGATAAGTGTGGCTCGTAGGAACAACGATTCTATTTTGTTAATCTGATGTTTTTTTTTAGTGTGACCCAGTGTGGATTTTTGTGTTCTTTTGGATTATTTATTATTTGTTTGACTCGTTGTTTCAAAGGCATTTTTCTTTGGTAAGTGCTATTTGCTTCCAACCTACTAAGTATTAAGTTTTTTTTTTGAAACTTTAAGTGTTTCTAGTGCGTTCCAGTTTCAACAAGTTTTAAATTGATTCATTGGCTATTTGCTACATAAATTTAAGGTATACAATGTTGTAAACCATATTATAAGAGGTGTTTGGTATGGTACATCGATAGGAAGTTTTCAATGTGTGATAGTTGGGGTCATTTGAAAGCTGTTTCACCATATCAGTTTTCTATATTTTCGTATGGTTCTCCATTCGTAGGTCGATCGAGTGTACGCCACTGATATTCTGCTATTTCTGACTACCCCCTCAACCTTTCCATATTAGTATGAATTCAATCCTATGTACAGTTTTTGAATAATCCCACAGTATCCTATGTACCAACAGTTTTTGAATAATCATACAGTTTTGTATATTTTCATATGGTTCTCCATTCGTAGGTCGATCGAGTGTACGCCACTGTTATTTTCCTGTATCTGACTTTCACCTCAACCTTTCCATGTTAGTATGAATTCAATCCTATGTACAGTTTTTGAATAACCATACAGTTTCCTATGTAGAGTATTTGAATAATCATAAAGTTCTGTATATTTTCGTATGGTTCTCCATTCGTAGGTCGATCGAGTGTACGCCACTGGTATTTTTCTGTTTCTGACTACCCCCTCAACCTTTCCAGGTTAGTATGAATTCAATCCTATGTACAGTTTTTGAATATTCTTACAGTTTCCTATGTACAGGGTGTTTCAAATTAGAGCCACATCATTGGTATCTCTGAAACGGTAAGAGATACACGGTTGGTTAAATTGGGGCAGAATTGCGTAATTTGATGCTTAACAAAATGCTGCTTTGATATTTAGGATATTCCGAATACTTCCGGAGATATCCGGAAAAAACTGAAATTTCTCGAATAAGTGCAATACGGTTTTAGAACATCAGAAGCTTATAGAATAAAAAATAAAAAATAAGGGTTCCTATATCAAAACTCCATTAATAATAACTCAATCTCCTTGAGTTTTTAGTATTTTTTACATTGAGCCTTTAGGAAAAAGTCCTCAAAATTTCAACTCTCCACTCACTTCAGTTTTTGAGTGAAAAAATTGTTTGTAAAGTATTACTTTACAAAACATCATTATTTTAAAAAAATCAAAACTGCATTAATAATAACTCAATCGCTTTGAGTTTTTAGTATTTTTTACATTGATTCATTAGGAAAAAGTCCTCAAAATTTCAATTTTTCACTCTTTTTAGTTTTTGAGTGAAAAATTTTTTGTAAAGTCTTACTTTACAAAACATCATTATTTTCAAAAAATCGTAACTCCATTAATAATAACTCAATCGCTTTGAGTTTTCAGTATTTTTTACACTGATTCAATAGGAAAAAGTCCCCAAAATTTCAACTTTCCACTCACTTTAGTTTTTGAGTGAAAAAATTGTGTGTAAAGTCTTACTTTACAATGAAAACATCATTATTTTCAAAAAATCGTAACTCCATTAATAATAACTCAATCGCTTTAAGTTTTTGGTATTTTTTTACATTAAATCATTAGGAAAAAGTCCTCAAAATTTCAACTCTCCACTCACTTTAGTTTTTGAGTGAAAAAATTGTTTGTAAAGTCTTACTTTAAAAAACATCATTATTTTCAAAAAATCGTAACTCTATTGATAATACCTCAATCGCTTTGAGTTTTTGGTATTTTTTACATTGAATCATTAAGAAAAAGTCCTCAAAATTTCAACTTTCCACTCATTTTAATTTTTCAGTGAAAAAATTGTTTGTAAATTCTTACTTTATAAAACATCATTATTTTCATAAAATCGTAACTCCATTAATAATACCTTAATCGCTTTAAGTTTTTGGTATTTTTTACATTGAATCATTAGGAAAAGGTCCTCAAAATTTCAAATTTCCACTCACTTTAGTTTTTGAGTGAAAAAATTGTTTGTAAAGTCTTACTTTACAAAACATCATTATTTTCGAAAAATCGTAACTCTATTAATAATACCTCAATCGCTTTGAGTTTTTGGTATTTTTTACATTGAATCATTAAGAAAAAGTCCTCAAAATTTCAACTTTCCACTCACTTTAGTTTTTGACTGAAAAAATTGTTTGTAAATTCTTACTTTATAAAACATCATTATTTTCAAAAAATCGTAACTCCATTAATAATACCTTAATCGCTTTAAGTTTTTAGTATTTTTTACATTGAATCATTAGGAAATTCCTCAAAATTTCCACTTTCCACTCATTTTAGTTTTTGTGTGAAAAAATTGTTTGTAAAGTCTTACTTTACAAAACATCATTATTTTCAAAAAATCGTACCTCCATTAATAATAACTCAATCGCTATGAGTTTTTAGTATTTTTTACATTGAATCATTAGGAAAAAGTCCTCAAAATTTCAACTTTCCACTCATTTTAGTTTTTGAATGAAAAAATTGTTTGTAAAGTCTTACTTTACAAAACATCATTATTTTCAAAAAATCGTAACTCCAATAATAATACCTCAATCGCTTTGAGTTTTTGGTATTTTTTACATTGAATCATTAGGAAAAGGTCCTCAAAATTTCAACTTTCCACTCACTTTATTTTTTGAGTGAAAAAATTGTTTGTAAAGTTTTTACAAAACATCATTATTTTCAAAAAATCGTAACTCCATTAATAATAACTCAATCGCTTTGAGTTTTTAGTATTTTTTACATTGAATCATTAGGAAAAAGTCCTCAAAATTTCAACTTTCCATTCACTTTAGAGAAATGAAGTTGATGATGGTGGCCGAAAGACGAAACGTCAGATTTTCAATTTCTTGGTAGCATCTTGTAGGGGAGAACGAGTGGCTATGATGAAGTGATATTTTTTCATTTCAAATGACGTCAGGAAAAAATGAAAACAATTTTGCAAAATTTCGGTTTCTTGCGAATATCTCCGGAAGTATTCGGAATATCCTAAATATCAAAGCAGCATTTTGTTAAGCATCAAATTACGCAACTTTGCCCTAATTTAACCAACCCTGTATCTCTTACCGTTTCCGAGATACCAATGATGTGGTTCGAATGTACATTACAAAAACAGTACAGCACAAAATATCTAAAAATGACGATATCTCAAAAAAACGGCGAAACTTTGCATAGGGGTAAATATGGTCAAACAGTTTCCAAATGACCCCAACTATCACTCATCAAAATCTTTTTATCGATGTACCAAACACCCTGTATAATAGGATTTTACATTTTTGGCTCTGAAAAATTTTGATCATCTGACATTGCCTAACAAAATCGCTCATACCCCAATTATTACTTCACAAATTTGGGAAAACCTTCAAAGCCGATTATCTCGAAAACAAAGCCCTAAGGCTCGGTGCCCCAAATAACCTTTTCTGAAGCCCCAATAGAGATTTACAATAATTTCACTCAAAATTCTTTTTTTGTACAAATCAGAAATTCTCTATTTATCATTGAAATTTTAGGATGTTTAACTTCAAACTCAGAAATCATAATTATTTTCTCATGTAGTAGATTTTGTGTAAAAAGCTGGGTCATTGCAAAATTAATTAATCCTCGAGGGTGGGTCAATATCACTTGTTTCAAAACCACAACATATCTAAGGGTGATAACAACTTCCTTTACAAACAACAATAATTACAAAAGCAGATAAAGTTACCATCGTGTTTAAACAAAAGATTACAGCCCCCTACTATCTTCCTATATATTTACCCAAAAGTGACACTGCAAAATATTTATGGGATGAATATGTATTTGTTTCGCGATAAAATAATGAAAGCCACAATGTGACCTTTTGATCTATTTCCCAGAGGAATGTTCGAAATGTAAAATCGCTTTTTAATGGTACCAATTTTTTTCGAATTTACCCAAAAACACTATATCGTTGGCGAAAACATTAGTGGACCCATTATTTTGTTACAATTAAATTTCGTCATTTGGTTTATCGACGGAAAAAGTTGTTTGTCACTTAAACTTTAAAATAAAAAGGTCAAAAAAAGAAACAAGATTTTTAGTTTTGTGTATTAATTGCAAGAATTTCCATTACGAAATCGAACATTTACTGAATACGAATTTAAAGCAACTATGAGCCAATAATAATCAAAGTTTCTCTGTTTCAGATTGCTTCTACATAAATATCTCTGGTTCCATTTGTACAAAATGGCCCAGTCCCAGCAGTACTGTCTGCGTTGGAACAACCATCGTACCAACTTGCTCTCGGTCTTCGACGAACTTCTCCAAAACGAAGCATTCACAGACGTAACTTTAGCCTGCGACGACGGCATCCCTTTGAAAGCCCACCGCATGGTACTAGCGGCGTGCTCGCCCTATTTCCAAAACTTATTCACAGACCTGCCTTGCAAACACCCCGTAGTAGTACTCAAAGATGTTAAATATTCAGAAATCAAAGCTATACTAGAGTACATGTACAGGGGCGAAGTTAACGTGGCCCAAGATCAGCTGGCCGCTTTACTAAAAGTTGCCGAAGCCTTGAAAGTGAAAGGGCTAGTTGAGGAGAATAGGGCTTGCAAGCAGGAAAGGGAGGAAGTCGGCCCTATGGAACATTCTCCATCGATTTCGACTGCGTCGGCTGTACCTAATCCTGTGCACAGTAGCAGCAGCAATTCGCCGCCTCATTCTAGCAATTCGATGTACAAAAATTATTCGTATGATCGGAAACCTCATGAGCATGGCGCTAGGATGAACTTACCTTTGTGGGCAGTACCTGGATTGCCTTTACCACCACATACAGCTGCTGTAAGTAACAAGAATTTGTCCTTTAAGTTTTCTTAAATCAGTTACAATTTTTTTACAAGAAGGTGTTCTGATTCTAGAGAACTGGAACTTTTATTTTGGAAAATTTCTGATTTTATTTTCTTTTTCTTATTTATTATTTTGTATCTTCAACTTTTTTCAGATTTTCAGCTTTTAGTTTTGCTTCAGTCTCCAGCTTTTTCCCACCGCTTTTCTTTCCAGCTTGTTTTTCCGCTCTTTTCTATTCCTTTTTTTTCAGAAAACTAGAGCAAGATAAGATATTTTACTCAATGAACAAACATTTCACAATTCTTTTCTCTTTTTGTTCACGAGTCCGAGCCACAAGCACAAGGGCTTCGCAATCCCTCTAAAATCCTTGAAAAAACCAGCGGCAAGAACTGCAAAATCCTTGTTTGGTCTGTGGCCAATCTCGTGCCACCTGAATCTGTCTGTGTTATTCCTTTCGAGGATATGACATGATATGAGGAAGTTTACTTTTTCCTGGAATAGGACACACTTCTTCGGATTCAATTTTTGATTTCTGACGAAACTCTATAGAAATCGAAACTGTCCACATGATATTCCAATCAAACATCAGAATTGTATTTATACCAGAAGAAAATGGACCAAATAGGAAAAATTTAAGATACAATGGGCGAAATATGGAAGGCTGCTAGCGAAATCAATCAAGATAACTTTGAATGTTACTACTGTGAAAGAAGAGGGACTGTCCTTCTACAAACTTCCTCAATATTTTGTCAGACTATTATAGAGGACACTTTCTTGATTCGTTTTCTCAATACTTCATTTCTCGCTAGATTCAACTTCAAATTCAACTCTTCTTCTTCCTGAATTGTGAATTTTGGCTGACCAATTTTGAACAAATTCTCACCAAATCTGGATTGATCTATAGCTGGATAAACAACAAAAATACTAACCCAGATATTTGTTTACAGCTTCCAAACCAAACTCATCCTCACGCAGCAGCGACAGCAGCCGCAGCCATGCTGAGCAACGCCTACGAAGCCGTGAGCTCCGACATGTCTCCGCTGAAAAGGAAAAAACTCAGCAGCCTTCTCATGCAAAGAGACACGCCGATCTTGAGAACCGTTTTGGGACAGGGACAAGCCGAGTCATCCCAACCTGTCAGCTTGGTTTGCCATCCGGACAGCGCCGAAATGCCTGCCAGCGAAGATAGAATAATAAAGGTGAGAATTTATTACTATTATCATCTAGTCAATAGTTTAAGAGCTGTATTTGTTTTGGTTTAAGTACTATTAAGTTTTGTTTTGAATACTGCTAGTAGTACTAACTGTTTTAGTTGGGAGTTGATTCCAAAGGGCAAAGTACTCTTTTTGGAAGAAAGTTCTCCCTACACAATGTGGAGTTTGAGACTGTGACCCCGGAATCTGTGGCCTGTATTCAAGGCATAGAGGTGTCTTACTGTTTGAATGTTGTTGTGGATTGTTTGGCAGGTGAAGATAAGTTCTCCTCTCATTCTTCTATTTTTTGCTTTTCTGTGTACAGCTTCAAGGCTATTGCGGTCTCTGGTGGATGAGGTCTGGGTGTCAAGACCTTCTTTAAGAGGAGTAACTTGCTGTTGGCTTTTTTGCATATCGTTTTTTCATGTGCTAACCAGATCAAGTCTTTGGTTATAGGACATTTTGTTGCTGAACACTGACCAGTGCTGACCCATTGATGGCGTCTTCGTTTTCTGGGTTATTGTTTCCTAGATGGAGTACTTACTACACATTTTTCCACATTAAGGGGTAGTTACCAGTCCTCACACCACTTCTCAATTGTTTAAATCATTCTGGAGCGACTTAGAATTGTTGGCGGGACCACATGAATTAATGAATTAATTGATTAGGGATATTGTCACACTGCAACCTGAGTGGCTTTTCGAATCCATGGGGCAGCTAGAGTCAAATGTTTCTATTACTGCCTGATTGAGGTGCTCTACTTTTTCTTCCAGTTCTAGGTGATGACCCGATTCTTCCCGGGTTGATTACTTTGAGATTTTCTTCCAGAGTGACTCTGTATAATTCCCAATTTGCTCTCATAGGGTTTCTCTTGACTCTTGCTTTGGAGTTGCTTACTTCTAAGCTGAACTGTATAATCCTGTGATCAGACAGGGAGGATTCAGAAGAGACCCTCCAATTTTTTACATTAGTTCGTTATCTCAAAACTACCAAATGTTAAATCTTGTACTTCCTTTCTTGCCCTTATTACAAAAGTGGGTGTATTCCCTTTATTGTAAATTTGGAATTTCATTTCAAGTAAGAATTCTAAAAGGTGCTCACCCCTGGTGTTGGTGTTTGAGCTCTCCCAGAAGTTGTGGTGTGCATTAACGTCGCATCCCACTAGGAGTGGCATATTTTCCCCCTACAGTGGTGTGCTAGCTCCTGCAGTTCCGCCGGTGGTGTGCACATTGTATGTCTTGCTTTACTCTAATCGTAACACTAGTATCACAGTTATACATAAATACTTAAAAGTACATAAAAGGAAGTGATTCAGCAAAAAATAATTGTACTAGCCTTGGAACTTGACTTACAACTTGGGTTCATGGTTGCCCTTCTTCCTTGCTCTCTCGGATTCGGGCCAGGAGGATATTGTTTGTGGACACAGTTACCGAGTAGCTACATTGGTTGACCAGAATTTGTATCTCTTTTTTTCCAACTCCTAGTTTTGCCAGAGGCTTGCAAAACTGTCCATAGGCCTCTGTGTGGAGGATTTCTCCAGAGCAACCAATCACAAAAACCTCGAGCTCAGCGGGGCATCTGTGCACGTTTGATTTTTCTGCCATTAGATTTTAGTCTCTGGTGACGTTTCTGACATTACTGTTATCCACTTCCAGGGTTGAGTTGACTGCATACCTAATGTGCTTTAATTTTTCCTGCTCTCTGTAGTTCTGAAAAACAGCGATCTCAAACACATGAATCTGATTTGGGTTGGTAGCTTTGATCACTATATCGGCTTTGTTGTGACATAGTTTCTTCTCAATCAATATCTAGTTTGCTGCTTCAAATATAAAACTGTCTTTGGTTCTTGGTGAATGCACATTTTATGGGAGCTTTACCAAATTGTAAGTTTTTCTGAGCCTCGTCTGGCGCACCCAGGGACTTGAGCAATGTCTTAAGGGTCCAATGCACCACAAAATCGTGCTTTGTTGTTTTCGAGTTTGTAGGACATGCACAGGCAACATGGTAGGAATTTTCATCGGAACTGCAACCCTTGATACATATTTTCGTCGCTAATGGATTTGACCCTAGGCCATGTGGTTGTTTTTCTGAGGCACACATCAGTACACTGCTACCTGGAAACTGGATGTTGACCTTATCCTTCAGGACGTTTCTAGCATATGGTAAGTTTTGTGAACATTTTTACTCCATGTTTTCATAAAACTTTTCCCAGATTTTTCCTGAAATTATTCGGCTGCATTTTTTGTAGTCCTCGTAGTCTGCCAGGTTCAGTTCGATATTGTACTATTCCAGGACGTTCTCACAGTCGGATAGAGGATTTCTCCATCCTGCCTTCTTGAGTGCCTTGCATGAGTTTAGAGCCTGGGACAAGTATATCCCTTTTCGCATGTATTAGATTTCGTCTTCTACCTCTCAGATGGCTTGAGACTCTTCGCTGTAGGGTTGTTGTGATAATTCTGGATTCTCAGGGGGTCCCACTAAGGCCTCAGGTGACTAGGTCATTATTGTTTTGGTGTTCTTCAGGCTCGTCGTTGCTTGTGAACCTCCTATAGTAAATGCTGGGGTATTTTTCTCTGAGTTTTGTAACAAATGGCTTCAGCTGTTCTACCGGGAAAGCTATTTAGAATACCGTCTATTCTTGCGCCCGATTTAGACACTGTTTGTTGCTTATATAGGAACACTAACCTTTGTTCTTCCTCCTCAGACCACAGTTTTTGGTCGTCAGTCCCTGTATACCCACGGTTATTGAATCAGCGCAAGATCCACAAGTCCTTGCTTGGTTTGGGCTCAGTTACCTCCGGTTTGGATACATCTTTCTGTTGGAATTAGTGGTCCCGGATGTTGAGGTTCACTCTTGCTGAGGAACTGGTGGGTCTATATTCATCTTTTTCTCTGGCTTGGCTCATTTCTCATCTTCCCTTAAGCCGTATATTGTGACGCGCATAGGCGCATCAACTAGGGGGGTGCTTGGGGGTGCTAAGCACCCCTAAAGCAAAAATTAGCATTCCCATTCGGCATTCCACCATAGCACTACCTACAGTGGCACTACCTAAAACTAATATAAAAAATCAGTGCAACCAAATTATTTATTTGCTTTGTACTTTTTGTACTTACTTACGTCATCGATGACGTCATAATTTAGAAATTTTAGATTTTACTATCACTTCTCTGCGATTCTAAATTCACTTTTCCGCAAATATTACCTCATTTTTTCGCGATTCTCGTCTCACTTTTTGACGAATTTACACTTTTTTTGAAATTTTTGACTCATTTTTTTGCGATTTTTCACCCACTTTTTTGCAATTTTGTCTTCAACTTTTTTGCAATTTTTGGCTCTTCTTTTTTTCGATTTTTGACTCTCTTTTTTGCGATTTTGTCCTTACTTTTTTTGCGATTTTAGCCTCACTTTTTTGCGATTTCAGCCTCACTCCTCCGCGATTACAAACTTATTTTTCCGCTATTTCATCTTCATTTTTTTGCGATTCTTACCTCATTTTCCCGCGATTTTTTCCCTACTTTCCGCGATTTTATCTTCACTTTTCCGCGAATTTGACCTCACTTTTTTTGCGATTTTTGAATAATTTTTTTTGTTGCAATTTTTGACTCATTTTTTTGCGATTTTACCATCACTTACTGCGATTCTAAATCCACTTTTTCGCGATTGTAAACCAACTTTTCTGTAGATATTATCTCATTTTTCCGCGATTCTTGTCTCACTTTTTTTTGCGATGTTATACTCACTTTTCCGCGATTCCTATTTTTTCTCCGCGATTTTATTCTCACTTTTCGTGACTTTATCCTCATTTTTCCGCTAGTCTCATCTTATTTTTCCGCGAATTTAAACTCACTTTTTTTGAAATTTTTGATTCATATTTTTTTTGCGATTTTTGACTCTTTTTTTTACGATTTCATCATCACTTTCGGCGATTTTATCCTTATTTTTCCTCATTTCAAAATTACAATAATTTTTGAAAAGTTACGAAAAATTACGGGAATTACGTTAAAGTACGTAAAATATGAAAAATTATGAGAATTGCAAACATTTACGAGAATTACAGAACATGACGAGAATCACGGAATAACAAAAAATTGCGAGAATTACAAAAATTATGGGAATTGCCAAATATTACTCAAAAGAATTACGAAGTTACTTCAAAATTACGTCAATTATTTAAATATTACTAATTTTTGGAAAGACAAATTACGGGAATTACGAAAAATAATGGGAATTTAAAAATTTACGGAACTTAGTAAAATGACGGAAATGACGAAAATTTACGGGAATTATGAGATATTATAAAACTTACGGGAATTAAAGAAAATACGAAAAACTACGAAAATTACAAAAATTATGGGTATTACGAAATATTACGGGAAAGAATTACAAAGTTATTCCAAAATTACGTGAATTACGGTAATTCCCAAAATAACGGAAATCACAAGTTTTCAAAGTTACGAAAATCACAATAACTTAGGGAGAATTAGAAAACTTCGAATTGCGGGAATAACAAAAATTACCAAGTTTTCCAAAAATTAAAAAAAATAAGGGGGAATTAGAAAATAACAAGAATTATTTGAGAAATGACAGGAATTAAAAAATTTCGAAAATCCCCCCAAAAAAAAAAAACAGAAATAACCAACTTTCGAAAATTTCAAAAACTTAGGAGGAATTATAAAAGTAACGGAGTTTTTTTGAGAAATTACGGAAATTAAAAAATTACGAAAATAATGGGAATTACGAAAATTTCGAGTTTTTCGAAAATTGTAAAAACTAAAGGGGTATTATGAAAATAACGAAAATTATCTGAGAAATGACAGGAATTACAAAATCTCGAAAATTCCCGAAATAAAATACGAAAATCACGAGAATTACATAATTTTGAAATTATGAAAATAACGGAGTTTTCTGAGAAATTACAGAAATTAAAAAATTACGGAAATCTGAGAACTACAGGAATTATTCAAAAATTATGAAAAATACGAAAAAATCACGGGAATTAAAAAAAAATGTGACAATTTTGAAAAAATTACGAAAATAACAAGAATTACAAAAAGTTACAGGATTCACGAATTTTCCGAAAATTGCAAAAACTAAGGGGGAATTATGAAATTAACGAAGAATTTTTTTGAGAAATGTCGGGAATTTTAAAATTTTCGAAAATTCCAAGAAAAAAAAAATTACGGGAATTACCAAGTTTTAAGAATCACAACAAACTTGGGGGGAATTATAAAGATAACGGGTTTTTTTGAGAAATTACGGGAATTACAAAATTACGAAAATTTGAGGAACTACAGGAAATATAAAAATTGAAAGAAATAAGAAAAAATCACGGGAATTGCGAAAAAATTACGATAATTTTTGGAAAGTTTCGGCGTTTTAGGTCTTTAGGAGCTTGAGTAGTTTCTCAGCTTCTTGCCCTTTGCTTCTGGTTATTGGTGGGATGTTTTCTCCCGTGCACACAGTTAACCTCGGCCCCTTCCATTCTTTCAGTCGGGGTACAGTTTTCCTTAGCCAGCCGACGGTCTGCTCCTTTTCGCAGTCTACCATTATCAGTTCTGACCTGGAATGGATTCCTGCGAACTTCAGGTTTACCACTAGAGCACTCTCTAGGTCCGTCAGTTGTTTTGTAGTTAGCGTAACATCGGGGTATTCCCTTGGTACAATTCCCATTCGGATGCTTTTTACTGCAGCCGCATAGCTGGTGCTACTCCCTGCTATGCAGTTGTGGTGGGTTTGAAAAGACAAACAGTAGTTAAACAAAGCGGGTTCTGCGACATAACGTTATCGTGGGCTTGGGTGGTAGGTAGTACAAGTGTCAATGGCGGCTTCATGTGTCACTTTTTGACAGGTAGCAGCAAAAGATGATGTCAGTAGTAACGGGGCACCTGGGCCTGGGAATTTTTTCGACACCGTGGGAAAATTTCTAGATCGGCGGTGCCTTTGATCTGAAATTTTGGGAGTTTGACCCGGGCCAACTCCAAATTTTTTTGGAGTTTTCCTGGAATTTGACCGCAGCTCCTTATCTCATGGTGTCATTTTCAAACAGTAGTTATTATCCATTCGGAGTGTCGTCGTCGTCATCTTCTCGTCAACACTGCATAATTGACGTAGAGATGGCGCCACCATTAATTGACACCTGTACTACCTACCACCCAAGCCCACAGTCAGATGGCACACTTAACGTACGCTAACGCTATTACCATTACGATAACGTTATGTCGCAGAATCCGCTTTGTTTAACTACTCACGAGTAGCTAGGGAAATAAGCGATCCACTCCTACTCCACTCAGACAGACTTGCTTTATCCAGAAAATTCTCTTTGTTTCAGCACATGAAAAACGAGCCTTCCGAAGACGCCCAATCCCCTTACACCGACTTCACCGACCGCATGACCGACGAAGAAGAAAAATCCAAACTGGCCATACCCTCGTCATCGCCCCAATCTTTTACCCACGGAGTCAGCTCTGGCATAGCGACTTACGTACCAAGCCAAAAGCCCGAATGGAAACGTTACAAACAGTACACTCGCAACGACATCATGTCAGCAATCGACGCCGTCCGAAACGGCATGTCAGCATTACAAGCAGCCAGAAAATACGGAGTCCCTTCCAGGACTTTATACGACAAAGTAAAAAAAATGGGTATCACCACTAGCAGGCCATTCAAGCGAGGCACCAACGGAAGCTCCGCTTGTTTCCCTTACAGCACTGGTTCGCCTTACGGTGGTCATTTATCTGAAAGCGACGAAACCATGAACAATAATTCAGCCTTACTAGAAGCCAGTACTTTTCTTCAACACGCTTTAGACAGAGGCGGCGACGAACGAGAAGCTTTGGCCGCTATGGCAGCAGCTGCGGCTGCTCACGCAGTTGCTTCTGGTCATTCTACTAGCCCCAATAACATGCAAGCCCGCAGTCCCAGTCCCAGCCCTACGATGCTCAAATATATGAGACACAGCAGCCTTACACCTTCGCCAGCACCTGGAAGCGATCAGACAAATGGAAGCTCGGAAAGAGACGATGAAGATCAAGTTGAAGATTTGTCAGTTAATAGAAAACACGATTCTATTGAGTCGAGAGTTATAATGCCACCAATGAGCCTTATTATTAAAAAGGAGGAAATGTTAATTAATAGTATTAAGGAGGAGGCTAGGAAGGAAATGAATGTTGAGTAAGTAAATCGTTATATAAAGAAAATCAACCGTGCAATAATATATAAATAAATATCTCTGTGGTTGAACTACCCGTACTCAATTGCTAAAATAGCTTTAGGGATTATAATTATTATATAAGTATGTAAACCGAGTGTCTGTTTGTTACATTATAGTAGTTTTATCGCACTGTATGAGGACCATTTTGCTCACCCAAAAAAATTTGCTACAATAGTTCCTCAAAAAACAAAAAAAATAATTACTGGAAACATATAAGACTGATAGATTATTACTAAACGATTTTTTGTTTCGTTTTAATTTTTATGAGACTGAATTATTAATTACTATCGTAGAGGGAGAAGAAGCAAATAAAATGGGTCTGCATACTTTTGCGATACTTATGTAAATTGTAAGACAAATTTGTTATTGAATCCGTGTTTATATTATTTTGTTAATCTTTAAAAGATGTAGGTGAATAATGATGGGCAGTAAGATATTTTGGGTGATGGGCTATAAGGAAACTACTTTCATCTAGTGGAACTAAGTTGCAGTAACTCTGGAAATAAACTTCTAGATGGCCCACCCAAGTAAATGGAAGGCCATATAAAAGTTCCTTATGGCCCATTCACAGATATAAAAGAAATCAGAAACATTTAAGCTTTAATTAAAAAATTATAAGGCTTTAAGCCTATGGTGTAAAGAAATTTTGGTTTTGGGCTTAGATTTTAGGTATGGTAAAATTTTTTTGAGTGATGTGACTCGCACTTTTTTCTGTATATTTTTCGACTATATAAAGACTTTTTTCGGCTCATTCTTCTAATGCTCATTTGTTTGTTATAGTTGCCAGTGTGCAATTTTTAACAACATTTTGTTATTTGAGACTGACAATGTTTAAATAAAATAAAAAGCAGCGGTATCGTGGACCAATGATGTATGTACTAAACAAAGTTTGTGCCTTTTTCACTATTAACAATTTAGAAAAATATGTCTATTTAATGTTAACATTCCACTGTTTGACTGCAATAAATGAATAAATAGCGCACATCAATTATTAACGCATGCCTTATTTTTATGTGGTAGATTTATAAGGTAAAATAATTATTGAAAACGTTTTTTTGCCATTTTAGTTAAGACTGATTATATTATTATTATTATTATTTGTTATAATTATTGTTGTCGAGTATTTTTAGAATTTGTTATAATTTATAAGAGAGATCTCTTTTTGCATTGATTGATTAAACTAACCACCATTTCTATATATTTTTAAGGAAAACTTTATCTACCTCATCGATTAGTTTTTTTTTTTTTGTGAGCCATTAATTTTGTATATATAGGTACAAAGAATTGTGTATAATATATATGTTTATTAAACTTTAAGTTTCGTCTGCAATAAAGTTCAATTTTTTTTTGCCATAACTATTTACCAACCCCCGAATTCAATGTGATTTTGTTTATGATTAGCAGTTACCCCTTATTCAAATATATATCAATTTTATGTTTATAATACATAGTTGTCTTATTAAAAACGGTTTTACGCACTATATGCACGTTTATGTAAAGCATGTTGCCGATTTAAGTGGAGTAAATAATAATAAAAAAAACATATATTTTATTGTTGTTGTTTTATTTATTTGTTACACTACTTATGTGAGGATCAATGAGAAGCAACAACTGTTACTCTATGAGAAACAGTTTTAAATTTATTCCAAAAAATTTAAGGAATCCTAATCCAGAATCCAGAGACAAAGATCCACTAAGGCATTCACACTAGGGGAGGTTAAAATCTTCGTCAGGGAGGTGATTCCACTGTTGCACCACTCGATTTGTGAAAAAATTCTTTCTGGAAAGTCTGTGACAAAGTTCGGTGGAGGCCTTCATCAGGCAGTGTCCACGCAGATGAGAGTTTGATATTTTTGTGAAAGAAATCAATGTCGCATGTTTAATGATTATGTAGAATTTTGTATGTTTCGATCAAGCATCCTCTATTTCTGCGTTCCTCCAGAGTTGTCAGATTAAGAGCTTTCAGTCGTTCTTCATGAGACAATTCTTTTAAAGATGGTGGAATTTTGGTTACCCTCCTCTGGACACGCTCAATCAGATCTATGTCTTTTCTGGGACACCAAACCACAACAGCAGTGGTTTGATGTAGGTTTTGTAGACTCGGAGAAACACTTCAGGAGACATTTCCCTAAAACAGCGTCAGATAGAGATAGACTGTTGAGTTGGCTCGCTTTACGATTGCATGTATGTGCTGTTCCCATTTTAGGTCATGTGAGATATTTACTCCTAAGTCAGCCTGTCCAGTAACACTTCCCAAGTTGTTATTGCCCATATGGTAGTCCAGCATATGATTGTTGTATCCAATGTGCAACACACAACATTTGCTGACATTAAGTTTCAATAACCAGGCCTTTGTCCACCTATCCAGCTCAGCAAGATCCTCAACCATGGCACCATGTTGAAACGTAGGGTCACAGAATATCTTAGTGTCATCGGTATACATACTGGTCCCACAGGACATGTTCTGGGCAATATCTGAGACATAAATTATAAATAGAAGTGGGCCTAGCACAAAGCCCAGTGGAAGTCCACTGACTACACTGTGCTTGCCAGATAAGGTGCCATTTTTTCTGATTTTGTATGTCCGACTACACAAGTAGTCCCGAATCCATCGAAGCAGCCGACCCCGTATACCACAATGCTCAAGCTTGTGAAGAGATTGGATGTAACTGATCTCCTCGGTAGAAAACCATGAAAATTGGATAGTCGATCACCATGATGGGTCATAAGGAATTCAGTAGCTATAATCTTTTTCATACATTTGCAGAGTATTGATGTTAAACTATCTTATAGATTCGAATGACAATTGCATTTTTCCACGCTTCTGGGACTATGCCATCTGTAAATGATTCTGTCATTGTTCTTGCAAGGATTCCACTCATGGTCGCGCTGCAGTTTTTCAGCAATATTGGGGATACATCATCAGGTCCTGGACTGGCAGAGAGCTTCAGATCAAGCAGCACCTTTTTCACCTTCTGTGGGATAAAAACAATATTTTCAAGTGTGGGTCCTGATCGTCCGGCTGCGGGAAGTTCTGGTATAGTTGTTGTGTCTTCGTGTGTAAATACTCTGTCAAATTGATTGCTGAATATTTCCCCCACTCTTTGTGGTTCAGACTCAAGATGGTTGTCTAGATTAAAGCGAACGGTTGATATACTGGTAGAACCTTCTTGGACCCTGCTCTAGGAGATTGCTCTCAAAAGTCGACCGAGCATTTCTTAAGAAATGTTCGGACATTGATGTTTGGGTGATTCGGTTTTTTACCACATTGTATGCCCGTAGGTCTCAATTCTCACCAGAACCTCTGTATAAATGCCATGCTTTTCTTTTTTGGTATATCAATTTAACATGAGCTCTAGTAGTCCACGCGCGGTTTTTTGCTTGACGCTGAAGAGGCACATAAACTTCTGATATGTGGTCCGCAGTTATCATAATAAGTTTTGCTGTTGTTTGGTTCCCATTGCTCAAGAAAATGATTTATAGCGTCGTAGTCTCCCTTCCAGTGGTTTTTGTGTCTTTTTACAGCTTTGACAACCGGAAGTAGGGTCATCTGGGTTGTGGCTACAACAGTAACATGATTAGTCTTACCTATTGAGGGTGCAGACATAATACTTGTCACCAACCTTTCATCTGATACCAAGAACAAGTCAAGTAATGAGGGGACAGTACCCTCCCGAAAACGAGTATTGAAGTCGATTAACTGATGCTGTCTTGATTCCTGGTACGCTAGTAAAAATTATTCAGCAGAAGCACTACGTTTAGTCACTACCGGTAGATTAATATATTTCAGGATAATTGAAATCACCATAAATTATTGTGGTGAAAGAATCATTTAGCCTGTTCAGCATATCCACAATCAAGTTGTTATCCTCAGACAAATATCCAGGAGGTCGGTAAATACACCCCACTAACGGCAGCAGGACAGCATTAAACCTCAGGTCGACAAAAACTCTATCCACCACAGTTAGCCCAACATTAAATTCTTCTTGCCTTACACAGGAGACTTGATGGCCTTGGATACAATTTTTGATATAGATACCCACCCCTCCACCTTTCTTTATTTGCCCATGGTCATTTATGGTTGTGCGATCTTTTCTGAATAATGTGTAGCCATGTATACTAATCAAAGAGTCTGGTATGTGTGTGTTTAACCATGTTTCAGTGATAAAAATTAAGTCTGCTGCTGTACTCTGTAACAACATAGAGAAGAAATTTCCTTTCCATGATAGAAAATTGACGAAACGGAACTCTCTAACGTATTCGGCTAGAATCGCTACCCCGAACTACCTGCTCGTATCAAAGGAAATTGAAAGACCCCTTTGGCGGGTATTAGCCTATCCAAAACACGTGACTTTGACAAGCAAACAAAGGGTTTGTGTGCCTCTTGTCCGTTCAGGCTAAAAATTACTGGGTAATTTATAGAAAATATTTATATGGATAAATATTTTTACCGATGAGGAGGGGGTGTGTAACGAAGTTACGTATTTTTTTTCTTTTGTTTTAAAAGGTACCGCGAGTTTAAGTGCATATTTCAATAATATTATTTTCAATCCTCAAATAAATTAATAATTTTGCACGTGACCTTGCTTTGAGTGGACGATGATTCTGAACCGCAGGCGCATCGCTTGCTTGAGAAGCGCTGTGGTCTTTTGGTCATACTAGGTTCCCACCGCCTCAACATGTGACGGCAGTTAAAAAAAAAAACGTAACTTCGTTACAATGCAAAACTTTGGGTTTTTTGGTACTATACATATATAGGCTGCACCCATGCGGCCATTCTACAGCCTATTGAGAATGATTTCTGACAAAAACTTAGTAATTCTTAATGTAAATGCGAACTATGGGGGTGCCAGTCATGATTCTTTCATAAGGAAAAAATCTCAATTGTCTGTATAATATGACGTACTGTCAGACACTTTTCTTGCTCCCAGTCCAATTGCGTTTAAACGATCTGTTAATTCCCCCCATGCATGCTGTTTCATTGCTATTCTCGTCAGCATCAGTCGCGAAAAAATCAAACAAAATGTCACTGTAACCACAAGTCAAAACAGAAAATCAATTTCTCAAAAAAAAAAAAAAAGATAAGACGAAGACAAGCTTACGTCAATTGTGATTATGTAGAATGGAAAAGAAAAATAGCAATACCCAAAGGAGTCTTTCTATTTCCTTTGACACGAGCAGGTAGTTCGGAGTAGCGACTCTAGCCGAGTAGGGTTAGAGAGTTCCGTTTCGTCAATTTTCTATCATGGAAAGGACATTTCTTCTCTATGCTGTTACAGAGTACGGCAGCAGGTTGATTAATACGCATTTCTCTATAAACGAACTTACCCGAAGATTTCAGGAAAAAGTCATAGAGAGTAGTATTTGTTGATAGAAAGAAATTTCTTTTCTTTGCTATTATTTTTCTATTTCTATTTCTATCGAGTTAAAGAGTTCGACAGCTGGATTTTTATCTAGAATTTCAATGACAAATTCATCAAACTTGGACATAATAGAGCCTAAATTGGTACCTACACAACGCTAATATGGAGGAGTAGGTTTGGGCATTTAGTTTTTTGAGTGGTCAGTACTGAGGCCATGTACCCCAGATGGTCTAACCTTAATTATTTTTGAAAGACCACTGAAGTATTTAATTTTAAGGTTATCTTTCCCTTGGTTAATTCTTTCTTGCATTTCTGTTAACAGTTTCTTGAGGTACCTAGCTTCGCTGCAGGCTTGTTTGGTCATACCATAGAATAATATTCATACTATATAATATTGTCAACTAGCTGCTTAGGAAAGGAGGACCCGGTATTTAACCTTATTAATTTAATTGCCGATTCGATCGGATGTTTATTGCAATTCAGCAATAAATTGACATAAATTGCGATTCAAGCCGCAGCAAAGGCAGACTTAAACCAGTGCAAGTACCTCTCGTTGGAAAAGCCCCTCTGGAATTAAGTCTCCCCAGTGCAAGTACCTCTCGTTGGGAACGCCCCTCTGGGTATCTTCAGCCTTATCGTTGTCCAGTGCAATTACCTCTCGTTGGGAACGCCCCTCTGGACAAGGCATAAGGGTGACGATAAACTAACCTACAGTCCCCCAAGCAGCATTGACGTGTGGCCCCTATAAGGACCCCAGTGTACGAAGGGTCATGTATCTTATAGGGTTAGCGTACATGTAAGGTTATATTTGGGAAAATATATATCTATATTTTTATATAACCTGAGCGAGTTTCTCTCCATCAACCCCCAAAGCTACAAACCCCCCATGTCACCCCCGTAAAGCGGGCAGTTGTGACAATATACATACTGCTCTCTTTAGGTAGATTATTTTTGTTATGAAGCACTTTACGAGCTTCCTCCTTTGAGGGACAAATCACCTTGATTGGCCTTCTTTTCTCTGGATTTTAGATTCCTACCCTGACAACTTTAAGGTTACCTTTGGCAGTATCTCTGCTGACACAATCCAGTACCCCCCCAAACACCTTCATGTCATTTGTTTTTCTTT